ATAATTACCACACTGCTTTGCTGCTTGGCAAAGAATAACCAGGCACTTCCCCCTGCCTTCGCAAAGCACTAAGGGTAAATGCGTACAAAGCTTTTGGAAAGTGATGTGCATGAAATTACCCTCTATTATGACTTTATTCTAAAAAAAGCAAAACTTAACAGAACTCAGAAGTGATTATTCACAAAGTATTTGTTGTAGCAACAGTCTATTGTGACCAAAAAGTAGAAAACCAGTAGGATTTAGAAAATTATAAAATGTTGCAGCCTTCAAAACCGGTAACTCTAAAGCTTAACATGTTGCACGGAAAATTCTTTAAAGATCTGAGTAAGTGAAAACCAGTCTCAGAGGCGAGAAACCAGTTTACAGAGCCAACAGCCTACACGCACCACGGCCTCATCTACTCTGAGACCAGTGACTACAACCCACCACTCACATAGATATCGCAACAGACGAGCCCTAACAGAATGGGAGAAAAACCTTTTTCTTAAAAAATCCACACTTTATGTGACAGTTCAGACTAAGGGACTTTCTGAGACTATAGCCCTGAGATACTCTTAACACCTTGAACCAAAACTATCTCAAGATCACTTAACAGTGATATTAACCATGAGTAGGGTGCGCCATTAAAAAAAAATCTGTATGTGATTGTTGTTAAGTGATGTCCAGTTAGTTCCAACACAGAACAACTCTGTATAGGGTTTCTGAGGAGCAACTGGTGCATTTGAACCACCAACCAAGTGCATATCCTATAGCATCACACCAGGTCAATGCTTATTCTACAGCAGGTTAAAAATTACAGCAAGTTGAGTAGATAAGGGGTCAGGGAAACTAGATAACGGGAAACAGAACAACCAGAACACAATTAAAGAGAGTGCTGACACATTGTGAACAATGTAACTGATGTCACTAACGATTTGTGTAGAAATTGTCAAGTAGGAACCTAATTTACTGTGTAACCAACCATTCATTGAAAACACAATAAAATAGTACTTTAAAAAAGAGTAAGTGAAAAGAGTTAGATCCAGAATGGTATATAAACCATGAAGAAAACTGCTTGAAAAATATAACTGTATGTGGACAAAGACTGAAAAGAAGACGCAAAAGTGAAAACAGTTATTTAGAGTAGGGGGCTAGGGGTGGCAGATTTTCGTCTTTCAATTTTTTTCTATAATATCATTTCAATCATTTTTCCAATAGTAATAACAACAAATTAAATAACAGTTGGCTTATAGAGAGCCCAAAGATGGGTGCTTCACCTCCACCCAGCCAGTATACATACACTGGCCCATTCCTCCCTCAAACCCACAGCATCCAGCTGCTCTGGGGAACTCTCTTACCAGCAACTCTGACCACAGCACGTTCTGCAGGGTCCAATACTGAATCCTGGCTTTTCCGTTTTTTCTGCTCATGCAGCGGCAGGTTCCAGGGCAAGGTGTCCCCTGGGGGACAGGGCGACAAGCTCCCTGATCGCTCACTCCTGTAAGACCTCTCACTCCGACATGACCGCTCACTCCTGCAGGACCGCTCACTGAGCGTTTCTTCATCAGAGGAAGACATCGCCCAGGTGGGGGCTGCAGCCAGGGCCTGGAAGCCCAGGGAGAAGTGATCTGGAGGAGAAAAGGGTGCATGTGAACAGATCAAAGGAACTGTAAGGAACACCTGGGCTCTGAGAGGCAGGGGTTCTAGTCCTGGTCCTGCCACTGACTTTATTTAAACTTCAATTTCTTTATTTGGAAAATGGGTGATGATAATGCATGGTACACCCAATTCACAGGATTCTGAGGAAATCACATGAGGTAGTGTATACCAAAGCTGTGCACAATTCTTAGAGCATTATTTGAAAGTTAGCGCCCAGTCTTCAACCACTCTTCAGGTCTGAAAAGGAACTCACCTCATGGTGAGTTATCAGCCAAACAGTAGATAGGTATATAGGGGACACAACACTAGCAAGGTAGGTTCACCATGGAACAGGCAATCATTCAAAATCAAAAGGACAATATTTACATAAGGACAAAGTAGAGCAGGGATGGGAAGGAGAGTGGAATGGAAGTAGGAACCACCTGGAGGAATTGGGATAACTGTTACTGCGTGGAGGGGATTCTAATCATTGAGAAGAAACAAAGTATATAATCTGTTGAATATAAACTGATGATCTTATCTGTAAACCTTCACTCAATTCACAACAAAAAGTTAACAACAATAACAAAAAAGTTCCCATTACTAATAACCACTATTATTGCTGTTATGGTTGTTATGATATTAACAAGTGTTGTTGAGTCAGTTCCAACTCATAGTAACCCTGTATAGGGTTTCCGAGGAGGTGGATTTGAACTGCTGACCTTGTATCTAGCAGTCCAGTGCTTTTCCTACAGTGCCACACCAAGAGTCCCAGATAGGAAGAAATAGGTTCAAATTCCATCTCCACCGTTTACTAACCCTGTGAACCTCTTCAAGCCTCAGTATCCTCATCTACAAAATGGGCATGATGATAGCACCTAACCTCACCAGGTTGACTGTAAACACTAAATGAGATCTGGCATGTAAAGCACTTAATAATTGGTGTCTGGTAAACGCTTAATAAATAGCAGTATTTATTATATTCCAAGAGGCCCTGATGGTATAGTGGTTAAGTGCTTAACTGCAAACCAGAAGGACGGCAGTTTGAACCAACTAGCCACTCCTCAAGAGGAAGATATATAGCAACCTGCTTCTGTAAAGATTTGTTGTTAGGTGCCCTGGAGTCGGTTCCAACTCAAAGTGACCCAAGGCTATAAATCTTTACAAGAGCAGAAAGCCTCATCTTTCTCCCACAGAACAGCTGGTTAGTTTCAAATTGCTGACCCGCAATCTCCCACGGAACAGCTGGTAGTTTCCGACTGCTGACCTTGCGGTTTGATTCGTAACCACTATGCTATCAGAGCTCCTGAAAACATTACAGCCTTGGAAATCCTATGAGGCAGTTCTACTCTGCCCTATTGAGTTTCTATGAGTCACAATCGACTTGATGGCAACTGATTGGGTTTGGGTTTATTATTATATTCCTGTTCTAATTACCTCCCAGGATTGTTACAAGGATAAAATGGGGCAGCAGATGGAAAGGATTTTCAAAAAGCTGAAGCATGATCTCAGTGGCAGGCATGAGACAAAGCATAAACTAAAATAGGCAGAAATTCCCTGATTTCCTCTCATTTCATCTCCAGCAGATGTATTAGAAAAAGCACTAAACTTGAAGTTAACCCTGGATCTGAATTTTGGCTTGACCATTTACAACTGGTGAGCTTTGGGCCAAGTCACCTCTCTGAGATTCTGTTTCCTCATCTGCAAAATGGGGGTAATCATTACAAACCTCAGAGGGTGTTTTGAGAACATGTGAAATGAAATACAGTTGTAAAAACTGGCTGGTGCTAAGCATGTCACATACTAGGCATGAGATAAAATGTCCATTTGTTTATGACAACAGCTGTGTAAGAAAAAGTGGGGAGGGGGACGGACAGTGGGTACAGAAAGTTAGTTCTGGTCAGGTTAGCCAGTGGAGACAGATGAATGGAAATAGGATCCCTCTGTCACTAGCCAGACTGGGCAGCTTTCCCTCTGCCCAATCAAGCTCACTTCCCAGAACCATCTGCTACACACAGTCCACTGGTCTCAGGGTTCCATCAGAGTCCGGAGGTGTGTGCCTTCAACTATCAACCTCCCTGCCAGCCCCAAGCCCCATCCAACTAATCAGCTCCCACTTTGACTCCATGGCTCAGGGATGCTGTTGACTTTCCCAGAAGGGGAATACCTGCACACAGAGCTGTGTGAAGATGGAGAGGTGCCTTAAATGGCTGGACACCATGGGTGTCTGGGCACAGTTTCTCATGGATTCTGGGAATCGCAGTCTGGTGACAGCAAGGAGCAGAGACAGCCTCCTAGGTCACTGGCAGATCCCTACCATAGGCACAGAACCGGCAGAGATAACAAAAGAAACATCAAACCGGTTTGAAGCAGCCGGGTGCCCGGTGCAGGAGGCCTCTAGGCAGCTTTGGTCAGACATAACAGCCTTGCCAAGACACCCTACGTGCCAGCGGCCTATGGGACCTCTTCCCATGGAACACAAGGCAGAAAGGAAAAGACTCCAGTTCTGACCCACCTTTGCCCCCTACCCCAACATTTTTACCCTTCCAGTATTACCTCCTGGAGCCCATCTCTCAACTCTTACAACCTGGTCAGGTGCTTAAGTGAAAACCCCAACCTCAGGGAAACTCGTCCATCACTACCTTCAGGCCACAGCAGGAAAACGCCCATCCTCTCAGACCACCCACCAGCTTCATCCCAGAACCGCCCATTCCTTTCCAAGACGCCCATTTTACTACAAAGGCCCGCTCATTCGAAGCCTCCCGCAGGGAAGAGCCCCTCTTCCCGGCTCAAGGCGGAGCAGTGTCCAACAGCTCAAAAACACCTGTTTGACCTCAGGGTCCAGCCCCACCCCTAGGTCACTCGGGGTCATTAAATCAATGCCGATTTCTAAGAGCGCGCGCCCACGCCTCCACCCCACTCCGAAGGTCACAGGCTGGATCGGCGACAGGCATTTCACCTGGCGCTTTCCTGCTGCGCCCCTTACCCCTGTGTCGCCCTCCCCCCCCCACCTTCGTCTTCCCCACGGTGGGGGGAGGGACGCGCTTGCGAGTCGGGGCGGCGCGGGTGGGTCGGCTTACCAGCCGCGCGCGGCTGACAAAGAGCGGGGGCCGCGCCGGGGCGGCGCGCTAGCTAGGACCGAACCAGGCTCCAGGGCCAGCGGCTGACACCTGGGCCAGAAAGCGACCTTTCCCGCGCAGCGCTGTCTGCTCCAGCAGGTCTCTCTCTGGCCCCGGAAGGGTAACTCGGCGCCCCTTTTTCCCGGAACACGCCTCCCTCTGGCCCCGGCTGGGTCCGCCCAGGGAAAACCCAGGCTTAACGCACTCGACACTCCTGGGCGCTGCGGCCGCGGGGACTGCAGGTGAGAGGCCCGCAAGACCACGATGCTCGCGCCTGTCAACTCGCCTTCCCGCTGCCTCCGGGTACCCGGGCTTAGGGGAGGCCGCCCCGCGATCAATCGCCGCGCCCTAGCCGCCGCAGTGCACCCCGCGCAGTCAGTCAGGGAGCCTGAAGCCGACCCCGCTCCCCGGGCCCCGCGCCTTACCCCGGGAGTCGAAGATGGAGGAAGACAGACCGGCGGCAGCAGCAGCGAAGGCAACAGCGGCAGGGTACGCCCCGGCTAGAGCTGAGTCGAGGGGAGCGCAGCAGAGCTGAGGGGAGCGGCTCCCACAATGGCCGAGCTCGCCGCGCCGAGCCCCCCGCCCCCTGCGCCCTAGCGGCAGCGGCTGTGGCGGAGCCGGCGCA